ATCGGCAAATGGAGAAATTAAACGTCCCGGAAATATTGTTCGCAAAAGATTCATTGTTTCCCTAGCTATGTGACAAGTTGCTCCGTCCTGCTAGAACCACATGCTTTGCAGGCTAAATTGTTGGATTTCAGAAGCCAGAACGGTAGCGCTCGCCAGTGACAGTAAGAGAATTACCTGCAGCGTCTTCAAAGAAGTTAGGTCCAATGTCATCTCCATACCAAACACCGCGCCAAACTGTGACTCGACGGGGATGTAGTGGTCGTTGATGGATGACACGAGGGTTCTCTAATGCCCAGATACGACAATTCTGCTTTTCAACAAATCCGTTCATATATAAGTGAGCTTTATCGCTCATTATCAGTTGTCGGTAGAAATCGTTATTTTCAATATTGCATGGCTGTATTGTCGGCGACTTTCATGGTCACTAGGCTGTAGTTCTTGGGTTAACTGAATTTTCTATGGCCGCAAATGCAAGTCCTGTTTTAAAATAGTGCATAATGACGTGCAACAAATACCCAGTTCTTGAGAACAATGTCTGGTAGACGTCTCAGGGCGCTCCACTACACTTTCTCGAATTCTCTCGTTGTTTTCCGGAGTTCCAGTTCGGTCACGGCCCGAACTGATCAAATCTTTAACTTCACCTGTTTGTTCAAATTTCCGGAGTAACTGACGATTGGTGTTGACACTGGGCACATTATTTCGACCGAAATCTTGTAGCTTCCTAATGCAGCAATCGACTCATTATTTAAGTAAAACGTTTTGAATTGGACACATGTGGTTTAACCACCACCTACTGAAATGCGTGTATCAAAAAAGGGCTGGCAACTTAATCAGTCAGTTATATGTAGGCCACCCTGTATATCTATTACCTAACCTAAGAATACGAGTTATTGGTTTATTTAAAAGATAATTTGGGACAAAGGGAACAAAGAATGTATCGGTATGTCGCGCTCTCCAATTAAGTGAAATTTTTCCTAACAGTTGGGAACAATCATTGTGACCATTGGTAATTTTGTGCAAGAAACTTATGTTAAATTCCAACCGTATTCATGTAGAAAAGAGCATCATTATAACAATTCTCCTCCCCAATGAAACCCATTTTTTATCCACGTATTCTGAAAAAAAAAATTCCTCTGCATGCTCCAATTGGTTGATCTGTAAGTTATAACTTGGCGACCAGATGGAGCAGCAATTCTAAAGTGACGAGCGACCAAAAGAACAATACAGAATTTAAAATAAAAATGACAGATTAACACAGTGGCGAAATCGAAACCTAACAATTTATGCACAATTGATTGGGCTTTCAATATACGAGTATAAGTTAAATGATCATTTTGGGTCAAAATTAACTCCCAAGCTCTCGGTTTGGTCTATAGCTTGTAAAGATTTCCGTTATAGGAGACCGATACCAAACAAATGTAGTTTTGAAAGATTTCGCATCATTTTAAACTTTTTTTTTTTTTTTTTATACTCCAACTACCACGAAGGCCTAAGGCCTAAGCACCCATTGGGTACCGTGGGGCTATGGGGGATACATGGGAAAGGGGGGACGCCACACGGACTCTGGCGAGGGAACACGTGTGCATGCAACATGCACACATTCTGGCTCCGCCTACGAGAACCGCCGGGTGGTACCTCTGCGTTCGACAGTCAGAGACCATCTACCACCTACGGACAATCACAACATCCATGGCCAAGAGAAACATTTCTCCTGGGACGGGACTCGAACCCGCACAGCGCACGGCGGCTGATCAGGAGACCGAAGGGTCTACTACTGCGGCCACCGCTGCTGCCTAAAACAAACACACAACATCCATGGCGAAGGCGAGATTCGAACTCGCGGCCCGGCCGGCCGGCTGATCAGTAGCACGACACTCTGACCCACGCGGCCAACCGAGGTCCCACTAAAACATTCACTCCAAATCAATGAGAAATATGGTCTCTTTGCCGCAATTCAGCATCACGCTTGTTCCCAATAATTCTGAAAATCTTAACACCATCCATAAGTAAGAGAATTTCACTGCGTACTAAACTCACAATATCATTAATAAATATATTGAATATCAGACCTAAGTCCCTGCGGGACTCCAGAAGTTACACGAATGCTACGAGTTTGGACAATAGTATCGAATGGTTAACCCGATCGAGCGCCTTAGAAAAATCGAAATATACATAGTTCACCTGAAGTGCTACGTATTAGTTTATCAGGGGTTCCTGTACATCCAGTATTCACTAACTCAACAAATTTGCCGGAGTTTGAGCAATTATCCTGGTTTTCTTGACTTGGACCGTCGATTGGCGTATTCTAGCTGACAGTTGACAACCATATACTGAATATCGAGGTACAAAAAGGCACTAGCGCCATCAGTGAAATATCAACAGAACATATAAGTAAATTTAGAAATATACTTGGAAAAGAGTTAAAGGATTTGGTTCTGCTATTGTTTCATTGACGTCGCTAGGATTTCTGGTCCCTTTTTGGCGCCATCTATGAGATAGTAGCAGACACAAACACTCTAAATCCTAAAAAGTAGATTTCTAAGTTAATTTTTTGTTCATTGATGACGCTAGTGTCTTTCTGATCGACTCGCTTATTACATAGATATGGTTTTGTGATAAGGGAAAGCTTTTATAGCCAATCTCAGGCAGAAAAACTCGACAGTATTGCCCTGCGCCCCTTTCTGCCCGAAGTATGAGACTCTTCAGAAATGGCACATTCACTAAAGCCCCTTAATCGTTCGCCACTCATACCAGCACGGTAATGCTTGATATTCATTCATATCGAAGGTATTTGTCATCTATTCTCTATCGTACACACACATACATTTATACTTATGTACATGTACAACTGAGCATAATATAAACCTACTATTGGTTCCTTGATCTGTTTTTGTTCTCCCGTACCTTACTCAGCATCATGCGCCACATTATTGTTTGTGCATCAACCTATTTTTGCTCGCGCATATGAGAAGCAAAATTGTCAGCAGTGATCCTCTAGCCGAGAGTCAATTCCAGCTGTATCTGGTAGTCAACCCACCCACCACATTCGAGTAGGTGATTTGAAGTATCCTCCTCTTCATTAAAATACGTATATACGCAATTCGCGTACTCGCTCTTTCCTAACCTCTTCAGGTAGCTGTCAAAACAAATATGTCCTGTGAAAAAATGTGCATTATATTAGCTATCCGTACCTTTCGCTTGTCAATCCCAGTTTTAATATCTGGGATCGGCCTTCTGGTCCCAAAGCCAGTTGCATCCTATCTCTCCTGCCATCCGACAAAAAACGCCTCTTTTTATATGGCTTGTAGCTTCGACGCTCTTTTCATAGAGTGCACATATCTCCACAGCCAGAAAATCAATTGGCGGGATGCCCGCTACCACCAGTAGCACATAGGTCGTTCTGTAAGCGCATATCACGCGCAGCACTATTTTTCGCGGGTTTCTCAATATTAACGGTCTATATAGACATCTAATACTAAAAAAAATATTTCTTTTTCCTCAAGGCCTTGTTGTATATAGGAGCTCGCCACAACATAATCAACACCCTGCCAAAATCGTAAGCCTCTCACTACTGGGGACTCAGTTAGATCGCAGATAGAGGTAGAATACTTTTTTGCAATTCATCTCATAATCTTGTTTTGATGTAATTAAATATTTCATGCCCATGGTTCTAACAGCTCACTTTGCCGTTGAGTTATAAACAACGATATAAAGATACTCCCCGATGTGAAACAGCGATATATCTATAGACGCATCGCCGATCTAAGATTTTAATAGCCAAATGCAAGTAATAACAATAATTTATTCTCTCTCCTTATGGAGGTGCATCGTCGATGTCGGTAAATCATCGGCTATGAGCCTTGGCGCGGCAAGGCGAGCCAAAGAAAGAAGAAATGCCCATTAAGGCCGTTGTGCCGCGGCTAAAACAAAAGGCGGCAGACAGCAACACCTACGAACCGTCAACCTTGCCGGCCGCGGCCCCCGGCTGATCTCAAAAAATCATAACGATCGATGTAACTAATAAGAGGGCTTACACACTGGCCTGTTCCATCTGCTGGTCTTCGGCTCTCCATTATCTGTATGGTTTTTTAAATTGACACCATGCTGATCCATTTATCACAGTCCTTGATGACTCACTTTCTATATTGTTGTTGTAACTGCTGGTACAATGATTTTACTTCCAACGCCTACTGGCGAGGAAGTATTGTAATGCGAGGATTGTCGAACATGCTGTATTATGTCTCTTTAATGTTAAGTGACATGTATAGCATGAAAAACCATTTTGCTCATTTCCGTCTCCCTGTCTGTCGGTCGGTCCGCTAATCTTAAAACCGGCTACAACTTCAAAAGTACCGCTTGGATATCAATGAAGTGCATACCTAATGTTACTTCTATGCCATGGACGAAAAGGCGTTGCGGTCTTTGAAAAATCGGTCCAGTGGGGCCAGAGAACAAGTCCAAAAACGAAAAAAAAAAAAGAATAAAAATAGCTCAAACTCCTTTTTAGGACGTTTCAGAGGATCCTCGTCAATTCTGGCAAAACATTTATTGATATAAAAACATGGTCGTAGTCTGTTAAAGCTCAATTCGGTGGTGTCGGAGAAAAACGGGATAAGTCGCATATATAAAATTTTCAGTAGATTGGTCTATAGTTCAAAATCTTACAACAAATCAGGCGTTTTACTGAGTGATATTTTTTTCACATGGAAATATATACAAAATCAAGTCATTTTAATGGTACCATAGAATATATGTATATATTTGACATTTAAAAAAAAATCGACTTATCCCTTTTCGAACTACCTGAAAATCTACTTATCTCATATGTCACGTTTTACTAAACAAATAAAATAAAAGCTAACGCAGAAATAATGCCCTTTATTTATTTTCTATTCGATTTTTACAAAATAAGCCATGACTAATATATTCCAGCAAAAAAAAACAAAGTTAAAGGTTTCAAAACTTAAAAAAAACACATAGTAGGATAGGTAAACCCATTATTATTCATCTTCGTCAGAAGACTCCATATCTGGATGTATATCATCGGCCTGGTTCGTTGGAAGATTTGTATAAAAATCCCAGAATACGTCAGAAATATACGGCAGCAACTTCATTAGATTGTCTTTCTTCTTCGCGGTAATAGGCACTAATCCTTTGTACTGCAATTCTGGAATTAACTTTGCTAATGAGCCCCGCTTCCTGAATGAAAGGCACCTATAACTTTCATTGATGCCCGTTTTAAAATACATTACCCCAAGATTATTTTTGTCGATCATTATTTCTCGAATATCACGCCAGTAAAAGAGGTTTCCCGTTTCGTCTTTTTTCTTCACTTGAAGCTCTGTTTTTAGCAGTTTTGCATAATTAAAAAATTTTGACTGGTCCATCTCCACAACTTTGAAAGTATGTTTTTTTCCAGTGCATCGAACCAACTGATACCAATCGCGAAGGTGATCGATTTGTGTCTCTGTTTTTTTCTGTTTCTTTTCAATAAGAGCGTGATCGGAGTCAGACTCCATGTGTGTATGGCCGGGCACTAAAAATTTGTGTTGTATTATTTTCAAAAGTTGGGTGATATTTCAAGCAGGCAAAATACATCGCTACAATGTGTGCATTTTTGTTTTGCCCAGTGCAAGAATCTGAGTAAAGCGTAATTTTTTCAACATCTGATGGAATGCTATTTAAAAACTGATGTATACATGATCCGACTTGGTTAGCTCCCCTTCCCGCTATAGCTTCATGCCACATGAAACAATAAGCCTGATCATTGTCACAGTCATGGACAGTTAGGTTAAAGGTCCATAGCTGTCTTAAGTAGAAAGAAATGCCTGTAGAAACCTTTGGAGTTGGAAGGCATTGTTGTAAATCAAATGTGACTGTTTTTGTCGTTGGATCAATTTTTGATAATCGTTTATCTTCTGCCTTCAATTTATAATAGTCGTCAGCTTGTTTCTGATGGGTGTCTAATTCGTGCTGATACTTCAACTTTTCTTCAACGTTACTAGTCAATGTTATCTTCATTCTCAGACAGTCGCATTTCCCACAAGTGTCTTTGCTTGGTTTCTTAATTCCGATATTCAACTTGTGGAAAATCTCTTCGAACTTTGTACGGCTAATAACAACATGATCAGGTTCACTTAAGTATTGACTGTATACCATAGCAAGTGTGTAGTGCGGAGGCAGATATTTTTTATTGCTATCTCGTCTACTATAATGGCTGCGGTAGAGTGGAATTTTAAGAAAAAAAGATGTGACGTTTTTTATGTCGGCTTCCGTGTATTTATTTTTTGGTGGCTGTCTGCCTCGGCGATCGCTTTCGTATATCCCACTATGATTTGTGTTTAATTTTAGACTGCATAACTCCAAAAACTTATTCGTTTCTTACAAAGTTTTCCGAAAGCAGACTTTGCAAATTTGATTTTCAATTCCGTTCATTCTTAAAAAATATTTTAGGGAATATTGACGATTTTTGTTGTTCCCAGTTAATTTCTTTTCTTTGGCAGATGCTGTTTTCAGTTTTTTTATCATACTTGTGACATAAGTGACACGTTTTAAATGAGAACCGGCACCCCAATATTCATTGAAGATGATCTGTCTATCAGCATCTGTGAATCGTTCTCGGCATTTCATTCGGCAATCAAGTAATGGTTGGCATACTCTTGCTTGTTTCGCTTTTCCTGACTCGGTAATATATGCTATACCAAAGTTTCTTCTAGATTTCCTCTCTAGTTTGGCAAATCTTGTTTTTCCTTTAATAGATTTTCTCGTCTTATGCTTTTCATTTGACCTTGTCTGTTTGTTAGCTTCTTCAACTCCTGATCTTCGGATATACTGAATAAGAGGTGCATCACTATCGCTGGAATCTGGACTGGAAGGCACATAATCATCTTCGCTCATTCCATCAAAAATTTGCTTGTATTCGTCTGGTAAAGATGGAGGAACACTTGAATCATCGGAATCTAAAAAACAAAAAAATCCGTGATCTACATGTCATGTAACATTGAAAAAATATATTTCAATTTCCGAATTTTTCGTGATTATATTACTTCCCCGCTAATTCTCGTATGAAATGAAAACAGAAACATATTAGGATTATTGTTCTTTTAGTAGCTTTGCCGAACAAACTCATTCTACAAAAAATTAAATTTATTAATTTTACTCCTCATTTTATACCGTAAGTATATCACCTGTTGATAAACAACTAATACGTAACAAATAAATACAGTAAGATCTAATCTGTTCGATATTAAAAATTTGAGGTTAGGTTTCTTTCAGAAACTCAATACTCCGGATTTTACTTACCATCTGCAACTGGCTGATGAGGTTTACACATAGACACAATTTGCAGTCCCCTTGAGACACATTTTTGCTCACCTAAGCTCATTTTTTTAATCGATTAAAGCGAAACTTTCACGACTAGAACCAATCATGCTACGACAATGCAACAGTAACTGAGAACAAAAAGGAATATGTCTATGGTAAACAATGAAAAGGTATTTGGGCGAAATGGGATATGTCAACTTATCTCCCTTAGCCCACAGTGAAATGCGCGATCGTCTTGTACGTAAGGAAATAAGCTGACTTATCTCGTATTGAACAATTTTAAGACCAGTTTTGGACTTGACTCCAAAAGAACATCAATTTGGCTCCGTTGTTTGCGTTGATATGACTTATCTCATTTCATCCGAAAGAAGATATGATATTTTAAAGTCGAGGCATGGACATATCTCATTTTGACCCAAAAACGACTTATCCCCTTTTTTCCGACACCACCGAATTGACTGAATGCCGGTGATATTTGCAATGTACAACTTCTTTTTTACAGGGTACTTTTCAATGCGAGATGACTTTTACATAGCGTATGGTGTATGTAACAATAATAATACATTCCTAGTAACATATAAACCAAATCGTCAAGGTACAAAAATCTAAATAGGCCAGCGCGGCATTAGAAACGTACGACGTGTGTCAGTATCCAAATCGGGCGTTGCGCGCCGTGTAGGTTAATCAAACTGCTTATTTACAAATGGGATCTAAAAAAAGCGCATTTTTATAGCAATAAGGAAGTATTCGATTTGATATTACTTGATGGTCTATGTTTTCAAGGTGGTACTACTAATACTTCGCGAATTCATATCGTTTTTCTGGATGTTTCCATTCTGAGCCCCGTGGGTTTGTTTATATAGTAATAATGCCATTTTTGGTAATGCCCAGGTAGATCTCAGGAATAGTATCTGAGATAGATACAGTATATATAAATCTATATAGTGTCAAAAACCGACAAAGTATGAACTTGTTGACTAGATAGTTCCTAGTGTTCAAATAGATTATTCCGCGTTTGCTCGCTATGAGCGCTGTGATCGTCACCAAAAGCGTCATCTATGGAGGACTCAACATCATGCTCAATGAACATGCTGCTAGTCGGTTTCCCAGCATACGTTGTTGTTGTAGAGTATATATATTTGAGAAGATGTGTTAGAAAAATTGAGTAGTAATATCGCGTCTCTATGTATAAAACCAGTTTTATTTGCTTGATGAGAAAATTATTACTGGATATGCTGCCGATGAAGTATACGTATTAGCTGTACCAGGCGGGTTATTTGTGTTATCCTTTCTGAAGGGAGGTTACCTTCCAAGATACAAGTAATGATTTTCCCCATTTTTTGTTGCATTTTCAAAAACTTTGAGAAACATTATGGGAAATTATCACCACGCTCGCGTTGTGTGTAATTGCGCCACATCACAGGAAAGTTAGGAATGACGCATCACACAGAAAACATTATCGCAGTGCCTCACATCGATGCGCTGACCTGTATTTTCTACTTGAGATCGTAATATAAATTTCTATAAAATTTAAATGACGTCAAATAATAAATTATGTAAAAATCTCTTCACGTTTCATAAATATTCATGTCTGCATCATATTTTCTCACCTGTTGGTTGTAATATACTTCACCAACCAGGGATTTTCTTTTCTTATCTCTTTCATTTTAGAAATCCATCAAATTTCCATATGTAATTTTCGGGATGAATAAGAAAAAGAAAATGGGCAACTAATTTATAGCTTTGCATACATCTCAAGTAAGGGAGGTGAGAAACCAATGGAATTACCGTCAACACAGATTACAAGTGGATGTGTATCAATAAAGACATTTATTATTATTACTGTCTTCACTATGCACCTATGTACTGGCGTTTCCTTGTGGTTATAGTATACAGCTTGCAGCATGACGTTTAGGCAACACGTACAGCAGCAGAACGAGTGCACATCTAGTGAGCAACAACTAGTTCTAAGTTGAGATCTTGTAGACAAACCTACATACTGTCACAAACAATACTAGAAAATGTCACTTTTCAAGATACGTGGTACCCATGCCCAGTTCCGTTATTTTTGGATGGGACAGCAATAACTTCAAACCGTGTTTACGAAAAGTATGTATGTAATAGGGTTCCTTATCAAGTAAATAGTAATTACATTTCCTTCTAACGTTTTTATATGGCATCCTTTATATCCCTGACACGATCGTCATCTTGGTTAAGTCATTACACACTGAATTTTTGTATAGTGTTCGCAGTGTAAATTTGAAGATTTCCATTTACCACTTATGTCATGAGAGGATGATATCTTGGAGAGTTTGCGTTCATCGATTCACCGTGTGTAGACCGAACAATTTTTCTCGCATCACATGAAGGATAAACCTCGCAGGCAGACCGGTGCAAGCTGCAAGGTGGTGCCGTGAACTTTCCACATGCACCTATGACCAATCCTATATGAGTACTGCCTGTAGGCTGTGCTATCATATCGTTAGAATACTTATACGGGTGAAGCGTATTTCTCATATGTGGGTAGTTCATAAACCAAGGAAGAAACCGACTCTGATTTAGTCGATTATCAAGAGTACGACATCGCTTAGTCTATCTTAAGTGGAACTGCCAAATATTTTAAAGATTTATGGCCATTTCAAAGAAATCAAGCTACAACAAACTGAGAGTTTCTTTATCATTTATTTATCAAAAATACGCTTCCAAGTATTACTTTGTGATAACCTAAGTATTTTAAGCAGTAATGAAAATACTAATACTGATTCTATGACATAAGCCAGTCTTAAACAGGAACTTTGATCATTATATTAACATGGAGCTTAAAATAATAATTCACTGATCATATAAGGGCCCTTTTTATAGTCAATTATCAAAATTATTAGTAATAATCTGTTTTTGAACGAAATTCAAATTTAATAAGTATAACAGAAGTCAACAACTTCAACAGTTTCATTGCATTTGGTTTGGATTTGAATTTTTTAATTTCTCTAATTTGAACAGAAACATTATCATTAAATTATTTTTGGCCCTGATTTATTATTATTCTTAGACACATTCTGTAAAATCTCTTATAAAGATAAGTTAACAAAACGAAAATACGAAGACTCAGTTTAAGCAACACTTAATCTAGTGTGAAAAACAAATAATATTTTCTAGTAGCATCGTTGCATTTATTGGTTTTTAAGCTACTTTTTATGAGTACAGTCAGTTGACCAGTCAGGGCATATAAATGCAGTCAATGAAGCCAACCTCTGCCCAATTATTACCTACCGCACTCAGTCATTTTCTGTCGTATCTTCGCTATAGAGAGCACCACAAATATGGCACTCACAATCATTCATAGTTTTTTTATTTTTGATTAATTTTCTGTACCGTTATGTTTCTTTAAATTCACTTTACCTGTCTTCTTATATTTTACCTCCTCATCATCTTTTTATTTTTTAGATGTCATTTTCTTCTTCTTTTTTGTTTGCATATTAGCAATATATTCGGTTTTACTTTTTTGAGTGTTAACTTTCCTTTCATCATTTTTCCGTTTTAGTGGCTTGTTTATTAGCTCGTTAGGCTGATCTGCAAAGATAGTAGCTGGGTCAATTTGCAAATCAGCCAAAAATTTTCAAATTATATTGCACACAAACAATATTTCAATATGTACTTCTCGAGATTTTGGCTGGTTCTCAGTGTCACGGATGTCAATTTGACAGAATCCCTGAGAATTTTTATGTAATATAAAAAACATCGATTAAAAAAACATTTAACCAAAATTATACAGAACAAGTTCTGTGAACTCAATCGATTATGACACGGCTTCCTCTGCTGACTGTACCGGGTTAAATAAGCAACACGCTAGGTGCAAAAAGATATGATTTTCTTTATCTTTTTGCAGGTACAATTGACTAGGCTGAATGAAAACTTCACTTGACAAATAGGATACTAAACATTCGGTTATTTTACGTTGAACAGGATCCTGATGGTAATCATTGGGACAAAATGATTTTATGATATTTTTGTAACTATATAGCAATAATTTCTCACAGGCAAGAAGAAATAAGGACTTCTTTATTTTGGTTTAGCTTATGGCCTCAATGCTGTAGTGAACAAGTCACATTTCACAAATGTATTAGTATGTTAACATCAAAAAATTGCTATACATCCTCCTCACCCTCTACAAAGCCCCACCCCCGAATTTGCTACCATTGAATTGTATTCAAAAATGATGAGGATCCTGTGGAACGTCAAACAACGAAGTTTGAGCGATTTTATCTCTTCCATCCTTGCCATTCTTTCCGCGGCCACTGGACCGATTTGAAAAACTACAAAGCTTATTCGTCCTTGTGAAAATTTCATCCAAATCGCTTCTGGGTATGGAAATTGGTCTCTTTATTTTCAGAAGCATCGCTGAGGATCCATGCAACGAATTTTCTATAGAAGGGAATGTTTATTCCTTGGACGAATCGGGTGCGTCGATTCAGAACGATATGTTGATATTGCAGCTAATATCCACTGGGAGGTACCAGGCGACCTATAGTGTATTCACATCATGGTTATGCCCCGTCAAAACACCAGCCTTACAG